AAACACACAAAAAACTTCTTGGCGGAATTGCATACAACAGTTTGTTTAAAATGCATAATTTTATTTGTTAAACGATACATAAAACGTACAATTATAATAATAATTATTAAGAGTAAAAAGTGAGCTTAGATAGATCAGACAGAAATACAATTTTTTGATAGGTCTAAAGTAGTGATTAATAAATTTGAACAGTCATTTTTAAGACTTAAGTAACAAGTGTTGACAACAATAAAGTTATAAACCAATTGAAGATAATAATAGGCGGAGAAAGCACATATTATAGGCGAGCATACATTTCATCAGTAGATCGTGTGCGAGGCAATTAATATACTTTCGCTGCCGTGTTTTATATACCTACAATTTTTTTAAGCATTTATTTAAGAAAGCATCATACATAGTGAGTGTTATTATATGAAAATTAATGTATGCTTGAAAAAAACATTTTGATTTACTTTACATTGTTTTATCAAAAATAAATTTAATGCATAATATAAACATGTTTATTATGCATAACGTCACCGATAATATCATTATTATACAATTATATTATAAAAACACATTTATTTATTGTACCCACTGAACAAAGTTTATCGCTAACAAAAAAACGCATACAGCCTAAAAATCTAGTATTCATGATTTTTTATCATTTGGTTGGAATAAGTATTTCTTTTAACATGATACGTCACACTTGAAAAATGGGGCGGGGTCGGTTGGGTTGTGTTGTTGAGTTTGGGTTGTTTTCTCTCATTTTTGACCATTTGACCAATGGGGCGGGGGGGCCAATGGGGCGGGGTCGGTTGGGTTGGGTTGTTGGGTTTGGGTTGGTTTCGAAGCGGGCGGACTCGGGACATTAGTTAAGGAAAAAAGATCTGCTTCCCGTCCTAAGATTGCGTCATTGGATGACGTCACTCTGTTAACGGGAGCGCAATAGGGAACCGTCTGACGGGACTCTAGACACGGCGAAGTTTTATTCACCCAGCCAAAATATGAGTTTTTTGTTAGCGATAGTACATTATATCATAGACTAGTATATTCTGTAAGTTTGGAATATACGCGTATAGGTATATTGGCTCTATGCATTACCTTTCTAACAATACTAAATATATATATGGGCTCTATGCATTACCTTTCTAACAATACTAAAACTTACCTTTACACTAAATATTAGTGACCAGATTCTGTCAAAAAATAGCGGGACATTTTGAGTAAATTAACCTTAATTACAAAAATGACACAATCAACAATAATTAAGTAACGTCAAATTTACAATTTGCATTGTATAATTGTGCCAATTTTGTAATTAAGGTAAATTCATACAAAATGTCCCTCTATTTTTTACATCCCTCCACACCTATTTTTGGCATTTTGGCAACTTTCCTGCCGTTTTTCGGAAAAGTCGCTAAAGTGAAAATTTACCGGCCTACTAAATATTGAATTTGCACTTTCAGGGCTTGACTAACGGTCAGCACACCGCATTAAAATAAATTGCTGCGGAGTCATTAGTACATTAAAAAGTGATATTATAACGGTCCATAGACAAGGGATAGGTTGGGTGGGCGGGGGGTCATATTCCGTAATATGAGTAGAAAAAAAATTACATTATATCATATTAAAGAAAATGTCAACTATTAAGTATAAAGGGTTTACCAATTAAAAAAACTTTAAAGAATAAAATCAACCCAAAAGTGAATCTTAAAATAAACAATGTACCCATTCAAAAAGTGACTTTCTATAAATACCTTGGATTAACAATTGATCAAAACTTGACTTTCAATGAACATATTGGTGAAATATATAACAAACTTAGTGGCTTAGTTGGTGCGCTTAGACGTGTAAATGAATATTTGACGGAGAGTTGCAGATTCCTTATATCAGTGGCGGATTTACACATTTTCAAGGTATAGGCTGAATAGTTTTTGCCGCCCTTGCCTCAACAATTGTCATATCATACATTATTTTTACAATGCAACAATTTCGTTGAAATTGCACGTAAAATAATTTTTCGGTATATTTTTGAGCTAATCGAAGCTCAATCCTGTTTGGGCGGGGTAATGTATGCTATTTACACAATAATGAACATTTGGTAAACGTGAATAAATAATCTTTATTGCGCTTTCAAACAGTTAAAAATAATCGACTCAGTCATATTTTTTACAATTTCGCTCTTTTCACTCATAAGAATTCTTACACACTTAAGTGTGGGCAAAGGGCGCAGAGGCGAGAGGCCGATTACTGGTTGAGGGGCGGCGAACTAGCTGTTTTACTCTAGAATATGAAAGTTTGCTACTCTCGGAATGTGCAATGACAAGTGAGAGAGAAAAGTCATCGACAAAATTTGTTGCAGACTTCTATCTGTAATGCCGGTTTTCCACTAAACGAACAGTTGAGTTTGGGTTTTGTTTGTGTTTTTAAAAACTTGCAAATCAAAAACAAAACTGAAACAAACCCGAAACTCTTGTTTCCATCAAGCAAACTAAGTTTTGTTCGAGTTTTGTTTTTGTTTTCGGTCCTTTTCCACTAGTCGTCGTGATTATGTCAGAACACACTTTTTCAGTATCAACCAACATGTTTAGAGAAAAAGATTTTCTTATTCTTATTTGTGGCTGGTTTATACTTTTTCGTGAATAACTTTTGAAGAATTAAATTAATTAAAACATCAAATTATGACTAAAAATCAAAAATAGCGATGATAGACCTCTAAAATAAAATTAAATAAAATTAATATTAATATTAAGGGCTTAAATTTTCACCAATTTTTTTTTGTCATTCTGAATGACATTCTCGATATATTTTTCAAAAAAAAAATATTCAATGTTTTTGGCCCATATATATATATATATATATAAACTTATCCATGACATTTTACTGCCGAGGCAGTAGGTTGTGTGCGAGGTAATTAATAAGCTTTCGCCGCCATGTTTTATATACTATTTTTTTTCAAGCTCTAAATTTCGATATTTTTTTGAAATTTTGTAACCTTATTTTTAGGTTAGGTTTAACTGTCAGACGACAAAATGTCACCATTATTGTAATACAATAATGTAGTGACTACTAGTTCAAAAGTTAAATTATTGACCGCCGAACAATAATGGTGACATTTTGTCGTCTGACAGTTAAACCTAACCTAAAAATGAGGTTACAAAATTTTAAAAAACTACATTGTAGTATTTCTATATAGACTTATGAGGAATAGAATATAAATATTATTATAAGGTAAGTGCGGGTAATAAGGCCCAGCAGGTTATAAGGCCCGACAGCCATTTTACCTTCATTTTTTAAATTATAATACTGGGGCTGCCATCTTATGATTTTACTAGGTAATATTTAATATTCGATAGAGTTCCGCCTTAATAAGATGTCGTTTGCTGATAGTAAATACAACAAGTGTTTCGACAACAAGTTTCTTTCGTGAAATTATAAAAATTGTGGTATTTTCCTAGAGCTGTGCCTAAAAAGCGTTTATTCAATTGCTGCGCCATTACAGGTATGTACATCAATACACATATTACCAATGTTTTCCTAGAAAATGATTGGTTTTGTACTATGCATGTCTGAGTTATAACCTTAAAACAAGGATCGTTACAAAGCAGGTAATAAGGCCCACCAAATAATGAAACTGGGAAGAAACCCCAAAAGGAGAGCGGCTCGGCAACAAAATGCAAGAAGAAAGCGAATATCAGTCAAACGAAGGCCACTGTAGAACCATCGACCTCGACAGAAAGCGCAGACGCCAACCCCGAGGAAGATTGGTCCTGCAAGCTTTGTGAACTGGATTTTAAGGCTGATATGCGTCAGTGTGCCATGTGCCTCACCTGGGTTCATGAAAAATGTGTCGGACTGACGCCTGAGGATGAAGATCTGTTTATTTGTCCCAAATGTGCACCCTGAATGGATGGGCTTTATTATCTGTTGAGCATGAAATAAGGCCCATTAACGAGTTTTTTAAAAACCTAAGAATTTTTCTTTTTGTTTATTTCATTTGAGTTTATAAATGTTACAGTATATAGTTTAAAGTTAATATATGTTTATGAAATAAAAAAAATTAAAAAATGTTTACGTTTTCTTTGTTTTTTTAATATAATGCGTTAGGTGGGCCTTATTACCCGCACTTACCTTACACTTGGAAAAAATATGTTTCTTACTTACCTACCAATTTAGTATGAAATTCGTATCTATTCGTAACTAAATTGTAATATTTCTATATAGACTTATGAGGAATATAATATGAATATTATTATACACTTGGAAAAAATATGTTTCTTACTTACCTACCAATTTAGTATGAAATTCGTATCGAGACTAACAAAATAAAATAAAAGTCGAAAACAAAAAACACAACACGACCGTTTCCACTAAACAGACTCGAGTTTCAAAACACGTCGAAACCTTTTGATGTTACCGCTTTCGAGCGGGACTCGAAAAACAAAACTCAAACTGTCGCAAAACACGCCAGTCTTTAAAAAGTTTTCAAAAAGTTGCAGTTTTGTTTTATTCGACACGAGTTTGTGTTTTGTCCGTTTGGTGGAAAACCGGCATAAGACATCAGAAAACCGTCATAGAAAAATCTTTTTGATTTCTATGAGGGAAAAAAAAAATCGTTCCCCTAATTTGCCGCCCCCAAAATCTGCCGCCCTAGGCTCGAGCCTACTCAGCCTGCTGGTAAATCCGCCACTGCCTTATATATAACTCATATATTAAATCAGTCTTAAGTTATCTCATAGCAATATGGTCAAATACATCCCAACGAAATCTAAACCGAATGCAAAGACTGCAAAATAAAGCGCTAAAAGCAATTTTTAATCTACCGTATGATACACCAACTAAAGACCTTTATAAAATAATTCCGGTAATGAATATTAAACAGTTAATTAGTTTCGAATTGTGCAAAAGTAAACGACTTTGCTTGAAGGGACAAAAATAATTGGTTAAAAATCATTCTCTGCGTTCCAATTAATTATTAAATATGTTTTAAGTTGTAATAGGGAAAATAGGTTAACAATTTTGACAATTATTGTGTCAATGTATTCCATTTATATTTATACAATTTTATACACTTTTTCGCAATGTCCAAGGAAAATGATGAAAAATCTGAAGTAAAAGAGGAAACCCCACCCGAACAACACAAAACTGATGAAAAGAACATTGAAGTTTTACACCGAAATTCTAAAAAACTTAGAGAAGATTCAGATGAGTCTGACGTTATAGTAATAAATACCGGTAAAAGAAAGCGAGGTAAAAAATCTGAAACATCGGTTAGAGTTAAAAGGAGGAAGACAATTAAAATAATAATTAACTCCGATGATGATGATGATGATAACATTATCGATTTAACAAAATTGGACCAAAAGTCATCCTGTGAAACTAACATATACGATCCAAGTCCCATAACACAAAAAAAGAAAAAAGGTTCTCTACGGCCCATTTTTATAGACGGCAGTAATGTGGCTTTTGCTCATGGTAAAAACAAATTTTTCTCAGTAAGAGGCCTCCAAATATGCATAGACTACTTCAGAAGGCGCGGCCATAAAGTCAAAGCTTTTGTTCCAAACTTCAGAGCAAGAAGAAAGCACTGCTCGGACTCTAGATGGCTTCAAAAGTTGGAACGCAAAAATCTAGTGGTATTCACGCCGTCTTTAACTATTAAAAATGAGAGCAAAGTACCGTACGATGATTGGTACGTTGTGCAAATGGCCGCCAAGCAGGATGGAATCATCGTTTCCAGGGATAATTTCCAGGATATTGCCAGGATTGAGCCCAAGTTAAGGTTTTTTGTAGAAGAAAGGAGGCTTGTACCCACTTTTGTGGATGATACAATTATTTTTCCCATGGATCCTTTGGGGAATAGGGACTATAATCTAGACGAGTTTTTAAGGTATTAGTTTTGTAATGTTTATGTCATGAATATACATTGTTCCTAATTTTGTGTTTCTTTCAAAATAATTCGTTATATAATCAATTCACGTACGGTAGCCCAAACTAACTGGAAGTTGGTATCTCATTTAATTTTAAAATTTAATGACAGCCAAAAAAACTGTCAGAATATTTTGCGATTGAGATTACGAAAATGGAACCCCCTACTCCCCCACCCAACCTCCCCCTTGTCTATGATGGAAGCTAAATTTAAGTAACAACATTCACCAAGCTTTCCATAAAATTCTGGAAGAAATGGGCAAATCTTATCAAAGAAAAGATTAATTTGACCTCAAATTCAAAGACACTTTTGGATCACACCGCAAAAAATTAAAGAATGCGCTGGTCTGCTAAACACGCATCACACAGCAAAAGTGACTAGCTAGGTAACCAGAACCTTGTTTGGATTACCGTATCTACGTGAATGGATATTATGTATACAGGGTGTCCCAGAGGTCAACGATACTCTTTAAAGGACTGATAGACCAACTCATGACCAACCAGAAAATCAAAACATGAAAAACCGTTAGTTTTTGAGATTATCAGGCCAATTTACTAACAAATGAGTTGTTAACGTTAGCCACTACGAGCCCTAACCACATAATGTTCGGACACTTCATAATTTATACAGACATTTTTTTCGTGAATACTATCTCAAAATTATTAGAAGTTATTTTTATTTTTAAAAAGTTTACCTTTTATTTTTAGCTTTTAAAAAAAGGCTAACTTTTTAACTTTTTTTTGTATGAGTAAAAAAAGTTATAAATGGACCCATTAAAAAGAGCATAAAATATTATACAAACCCTGAAAATTTGGTAAAAAATAAATAAGTTATAAAAAAGTATAAGTAATTTAAAAATGCTATTTTTAAAGAGTTTATGCAATTTTCTTAGGAAACGGGAGATTTTGCAGATATATATATCGCTATAACTTTCTTATTATTTATACAATTTTTACCAAATTTTCAGGGTTTGTATAATATTTTATGTTCTTTTTAATGGGCCCATTTATAACTTTTTTTACTCATGCAAAAAAAAGTTAAAAAGTTAGCCTTTTTTTAAAAGCTAAAAATAAAAGGTAAACTTTTTAAAAATAAAAATCGCTTCGAGGTGTATATGCCAAAATAAGCTGAATTTTTCATAACTTCTAATAATTTTGAGATAGTATTCACGAAAAAAATTTCTGTATAAATTATGAAGTGTCCGAACATTATGTGGTTAGGGCTCGTATAATCAGTGGTAAACGGCCTATCGTCGGATTTGACAACTTAAGTTGTCTATACATGGGTCTATCTATGGGTCTATGGGCCAATATAAAACCCCATTTTCCTCCCATTGATGGGGTACCGGCTCGACTTCCCCTAGATCTTTTTGAACAACTTTAAAATGATGTTCGCCCATTTTTTGTTCAGAGACAATTGTCTCTGCAACAAACGCAAGATAGAAAAACGCAACGCAACTATACTTCTTCTTTCTTGGTGGCTCAACGCCTTAATGGTCTTGGAATCAATGTACCATTTTGACCAGCAACAAGTGGATTTTGAACTTTTTCAGGCTAGTATACCATGTGGTTATCTCGGCTAGTTCTTTTTTTGTTAATCATTCGCAACCGTGATTAATTTGAATTTATGTATAAAATATAGACAGGTATTAAAAAAACAAAGGGCCTAGCATACTCCTTGGGAAGGAAACTATAAGAAATCACAACTTTAACTTAGATGATTTTAAGAAGTTGGAAATAACTAAATATGTATCTATATGATAGGGTGATAGAATGTTACTGATATTAAATGGTGGTTTATGTCCCAGAAATAACAACGCAACTATAACCTCACTTTCAACCATAGAAAAATAAACAAAACAACACATTTTTGACCTACAGTCCGACGTCCCATTTGCACTACTTTGCAACGTTGCCTTCGAGGGAAAGAAGCCAACGTCGGACCATCGTTGCCGTACTCCAGTAATATTTCCTACATATATTTAAACGTTGCGCGGACGTCATCAGTGGACAGATTATAATACTCTATAGGTGTTATAGTCGCAGACGTTGTGCAGTCGTCATCTGGACGACTTTTTGCAACTTTATATTAGAAGTTCGAAAACAACTTTGATTTGCACAATGACCGACGTTGGTTCTAGTACAAATTTGGTCGGGAGTCGCGAAGCTCTAATGAAAATGCTATTTGAGATCTCATTAAACAAGTGTTTTATTTGAATTAATAATTATTGAAATAATTTTACAATGAGTTCGTGTTGCAGTAAAACAACAATATATTCAAAGTAAAACATGGCAAATGTTATGCCATTTTAAACACTACTAAAATTAAATTTTAAAATATCTTGCCAAGTTTATGTGGTATATTTTTTTACGTTCTGAACGGTCAAAATTAATTAATAAAAAAACCTATAAAATCGGGTAAAAATGTTTAGTTTTCAAAAGGTAAAAAACTATTATTAGTTTTATTTTGAATGTAGAAAATAAAAATATGGAATTTTGTAGCTGTGGCACTCGAAAAACTGATCTTAGGTGTCAAGTTCCACAAAATTCATAAAAATGTCAATACCTTAAAAACTAACGATTTTTTACTAATAGGTCAGTTCATGACTAATTAGAATATCACGACACACACAACATGACCTTAAGTTCCTATACTAATTAGTTCTTTAAACGATATCGTTGACTTTTGGACACCTTGTATACAGTATACATAATTATTGGGGTGAAATTTGTATTCTCCCAGCGCGCTACAGCGGCTTATATTGTTCGAAATAAATAAAATAGTATATTCTATAACAAGTTTGGAATACGGCAATTCCGCTCGAGGGAAAAGTTTGTCACGAGCCAAAGGCGAGTTTGGCAGTTTCAAGTCTCTATCATAATATTAATGTGTGCAATGGAAGTTTCTTGTCTGAATAACATAGGGTTTTCGGTATTGAATAATACATACAGATTAATTTAGAGTTTCAGATATACCTATAGGTAAAAAATTTGGTTTTAATTTTTTTCCTAAATTTTTTCAAACATTAGGTAATGGTGAATTATAAAAATATATTGTTTACCAAGCGTGGAATCGTAGCAATTACTCCCGTTAATGAAAGTTTCCGAGCTAGCCGATAAAAGTAAAGGAATTCATTGACGAAGTAATTCCAATTCCACGCGAGGTAAACACAAAACTTTTTTTTTGAGTGGTGCTAATTATAGTTAGTATTAATTGAGGACCCAAGAAGCCAAGAATACAAGTGACATTTAAAAAAAAATTTAGTAGTACAGAAAAAGATAGTAAATGGTACATTTTACTTGGTATCCAAGGGATATAACTGAATTTTAACTTAGACATCTTGAAAAACAAAGTTATAAAACAACAAACAATTTTGACTCCAAATTACAAGTTTACATTTCTAAAGTCGTTCCGAATAAGTTACGCTTATAGGTATACCTACCTACTTCAAGTTATTGAAGCTAAACTCTATATAAATGCTCAGTTTCGCTTAAAAATATACAATTTGGGTACCCGCAAAAAAACTTGTATCAAAATTATATAAATCGAACGTTTAATTTAATTCTGACGTTTAAATTTAAAGTCAATCACACTATAGCGTCGTCTTGATAGCGGGAGGGAATGGAACATTTCTTAAGTGATCAGCGGGAGGGAATGGAAATATTAACAGGGAAAGAAATAAGATTGTTCACAGCGGGAGAAATTAATGTCATTATTATTAACAATTACGAATACAATTGGAGCATTATTAACCACTCGACAAAATATGCTACCGCTGTAACGTCATAATTACAGACAAAAAGTATAGTGTATACCTCGCGTGGATCGCAATGAATTCCTTCACTCGCCTATCGGCTCGCTCAAAAACTTTCATCATCGAGACTAATTGCTATGATTCCACGCTCGGTAAACAATATACTATTTATATTTATTATAATACTTATAAGTCTATATAGAAAGATTTCATAGTAATACTAAAAATTCACATTTTAATAATTCTATAATTATAATAACTAAAAATCTGTAAAAATTCTAAGGAATATCCCCTATCATAAGGTTGAAATCTACCAAGTTTCAAATGTTTTGAACTGTTACTTTAACCGGAATAAAAAATTGATTATACTGTGCAACATTTTTAAGGTCATCGATTTAGGACTCAGTTTTGTTTTTTTTTTCTGAAAGTACTTGCTAAAACTGGAACTTCTGCATCATTACTTTTGCCAAGTTGGTTCGGAATAAGAGAAATAAATTCAAAACCGTTTTTTGGCTCAAACTGGATTTTAAGCAATTTTTCGATATTTTGACACGGCTATATCTCGTAAACCGACGGAGATATTTTTTTTGTGTCTGGAACAAATTTGTAGGTATTGAATGGGAGAAAAAAATGCAAAACAAACTTACCCGAAAAAAATGCATCTGGTGCCTCAAAATAGCAAAAATGCTTATTTTTCACCATTTTTTAAAACTATTTTTCAACATTTTTCGACAATTACTCGGCTACACATCTACAAATATGTTGTTTTTTTTATTTTTAACTTTATTTCGTATCATACAAATGTTTTTCAATTCATTTTATACCTATTTTTACATAGAAAATATAAGTTTATGGCTGTTATGTAGGTATTTATGAAAAAGAGATAAAAATATGTTAATTGTAGACCGGAATAAAAACCTATAAAAATAATTATCTTTTTAATGCATTTTTTGCAACCCTGCTGCTTCATTTGTTTATCAAGCGTGTTTTGTGCAACGAGATATAATTTTGAGTGAATAACATTTTAAAAGCAAATAAACATTGAAATTTCAGTATGGAAAACAGCAAGTGCCCAAAAATAAATAATTTTTGTTACGTTTGTGGTCATATGGTGCTAAAAAAAGAAGAAAAGGAGCTAAAAAGTTTGTTTAGTGCGGATTTCACAAAAGCATAAGTATGAGCATTATTTCAATGAAACTGATTCAAGTGGTGAAGATTTTACGCCGAACACGGTGTGCAAAATGTGCTATAACACTCTTGTGAATTGGATACATAAAAAAGGAGCACAGTTGCCTTATGTGAAGCCAATAATTTGGATTAAAGACCCAACCGGGCACGATGTATCCAGGTGTTACTCATGCATTAATTTTACTCAGGGAATGAACAGAAGAAAGTTGAAAACAAAAGTATATGTTCCTGCTTTTACTGCCGTACTTCCATTGCTACGCCAGAAAGGTGACAGACTACCTAAACCTCCGACTCCGTTGTCCCCCCATGGGTCCCAGCGAGCTGAAACAATTTTCACCAACCCGACCAATGTGGCAGATGTAGAATGGGAACCCAATTTTGAAAATGATGGACCACAACCGCTAACACAAAGCGAAATGGACTACATTGTGGCTAGGATGGGAGCATCGCAACGAAATTCGGAATGGTTGACCTCATTTTTGAAGAGCAGAAAACTCACACAGCAAGGGGTTAACGCCACATCGTACCGGAAACGCCAAGCTGATTTCCAGACATTTTACACTGTTAACGATGAAAATACGTTCGCTTACTGCCATGATATTTCAGGTTTGATAAATAAATTGGGAATGGAGTATAACGCTAACGATTGGCGATTATTCATCGATGGATCAGTTTCCAGTTTGAAAGCTGAGCTGTTGCACATAACAAACAAAAAACCATCCATTCCAATTGGATTCGGCATAAACAAGAAGGAAACGTATGAAACATTGGGCGCAATATTGAATAAAATCAAGTACGAAGAACAAAAATGGAAGATTTGTTGCGACCTAAAAGTTGTGAACATATTGCAAGGTGTCATAGAAAAGGGCGGTTTTCCGAAATACTTTTGCTTTCTTTGTAATTGGGATTCGCGATACAGAGGAAATCAATATCAATGTAAAGATTGGATACTAAGAACTTCCGATAACCAAGAACAATTGAGATTACACAATGAACCAATGATACAGGATATTGCTGATATATTGCTGCCACCGCTCCATATAAAATTGGGAATCTCTGGGAAACTCATCGAAGTTTTGGTCAAAGATGTTAATGGCGCATTTGAATGTTTGAAAACCATATTTCCAAAACTCAGCAATGATAAAATTAGAGCTGGTATGTGTTATTGTCTATATAATTTTTTTATTATTTTTATTTGTCTCTATTCGCTTTGCTAATATTTTTTTTTATTTTGAACAGGTGTGCTCAATGGACCGGATATACGAAAATTAATGAAAAGTGAAGCCTTCACAAACATACTAACAAACAATCACCTGCATGCATGGAACGCATTAAAAGCAATAATCGAGGGCGTTTTGGGGAAGAATCGTGTACAGTCAGACGAGATAAAGAGAAGAGTTGATGCTTTATTGTATTTTTACGAAAAAATTAATGCATCTATGACGTTAAAATTACATTTTTTACATTTTCACCTTGATATGTTTTTGCAACAATTGCCCCAAGAATCGGACGAACAAGGTGAGCGTTTCCACCAGGTCACCATGCCAATGGAAAAGCGATTCAAGGGAAAAAAACTGGATGCATTGCTTGCAGAAGTATGTTGGTGGACAAGTAAAATAAGCGAATATGAAGATGAAGGCACCAAAGACTCAGATCTCACAAGATACGAGGGTCACACAGAAATAGATATGCCATTGAATCCTTTATCTTCAGAAGACTCAGGTGACCAACCCACGAAAAGATTAAAATTATCAGAGCCAGAGGCGTCAAGTTCGATGGATGTCTACAATTAACATATTTTTATCCCTTTTTCATAAATACATAACAGCCATAAACTTATATTTTCTATGTAAAAATAGGTATAAAATGAATTAAAAAACATTTGTATGATTCGAAGTAAAGTTAAAAATAAAAAAAACAACATATTTGTAGATGTGTAACCGAGTTATTGTCAAAAAATATTGAAAGTTTTAAAAAAATGGAGAAAAATGGGCATTTTTGCGATTTTGAGACACCAGATGCATTTTTTTCGGGTAAGTTTGTTTTGCATTTTTTTTCCCATTCAATACCTACAAATTTGCTCCAGACACAAAAAAAATATCTCCGTCGGTTTACGAGATAGGTATAGCCGTGTCAAAATATCGAAAAATTGCTTAAAATCCAGTTTGAGAAAAAAACGGTTTTGAATTTATTTCTCTTATTCCGAACCAACTTGGCAAAAGTAATGATGCAGAAGTTCTAGTTTTGGCAAGTACTTTCCGAAAAAAAAATCAAAACTGAGTCCTAAATTTGTGTGTTGCACTGTAATAATAATTATTCAATGCCCAAAAACCCCATTTTATTTAGATAGGAAACTTACATTGCAATATTATTGTATAGACTTTAAAACTTGAAGAATATATTTTTTTATTTATTTTGAACGATATGAGCCCCTGGGAACATTAAAATTCAAAAATGTTCAAAGTAAGGACCAGCATGTATGAGATTTTTTTAAATTGGTATGTTAAAAATCGGTGGCTTACTTTCGAAGGCTGGCGCTAGATGTCGTCGGGAAGGGAACTCCCGCAAAACAAATCGATAATTAGGAAGTTGGAATAAGGAGAGGTAAAATGTTGAAAATACATGTAAAGGTCAGTTTGGGACTAGGATTGAGGTTATAATTCGATGTTAATCGTTAGATTAGGCTCGTGATTATTTTTTAAGGTATGTTTGGCGCTTGTGTTGGCTGTAGCTTTTGAATTGGAAGCGAAGATGTCAAAGAGGAGCTTCTCCGACCAGTCTATTAAGGGATATTTAACTGAAGTAAGTACCGTTATAATTGTTACAATTTATTTTATACTTTCTTAATTATTGTTTTTGTAGTATTTATGTCTTAAGTATTTTACTTTTATATTATTTGTTAATTTTTTGGTTTTAAAATATATTGTTATAGAAAAATATACAAAAAAATTAATTTAATGGGGACATAAATATCACATACTAGTATGTATGAAATTTTCAGTCTTTATTAAATTAATTTTTCTGATTACTATATTTTAGCATTATACTTTTATTTTGTAAGTGGAATATTTTATATATTTTTCAAGATTTTTTAATTATTTTTGTTTAAGCATGTTTATCATGGTTTTTATTTTATTTTAAGGTATTTTTATTTATTTTTTAATTTTTTCAATTTTTTATTTTAATTTTAACATAAAAAGTTAGTTTAAAATGTATTTTTTGTTGATATTTTACAATTTATTAATTTACATAAATATAAGGTGTTCTAAAAATGGCACAACCCGGAAACTCTGTATATCTAAGCTAAAATATTCCGGTTGTTATGGAAACAAGTCAAATAAAGCAGTTGAGGTTGACATAGATAACAAAGCCTTTAACTAATCAAAACCTTGTTATTACATATTAACAAATTTATTTATTTTTTATTTTAAAAACCGTGATGTAAAGTAATTTTAAAAGCCCAGGCCAGGATAAATATAATAAAAATAAAAAAACTGAGTCAATTGTAGAATGCTAATGACCACAGCATCATTTTTTTTATAATTTGTATTATACTGTAATACAATATTTATTTTAGGGACACCTTCTATATTTAAAAATATATGATTTTCCGGGTTTATTTTATTTTGTTTTAAAAAATAAATTTTAATATTTAATTTTACTTATATTTATTATTTATCTATTTACTATTTATTTAATTTATTTTTAGAATCATAATGATTTCTTTATTTTTATATTTTTACCAAACAAACGTGTATACATACACAAGTACATTTTTATTTATTTTATAGATTTTCTAAGGTGAGTAAGCCATATATTGCCACCTCAAGAAAAAATACTTTGAAGCTTCGGTTGTAATTTAAACACGGTTTTTTATCTAAATTACAGGTATATGTAATACATATTTTGGATTTACCCTTTCATATTTTTAAAAACAATATAAATATTTTACACATTTTTTTTGCCAATACATAATATATATAATATACAGTGTATCCCAGAAATCGGAACCACTTTCTGGGGGTCTATAGACCCCCAGGAAGTGGTTTCATCTATCGCGTTTAGCTCGACATCAGCCAAGAAAATATAAACTTACATGTCACTGTAAAATAAATACATAACCTATAAAATAACATATGTCAAACCTGACAAAATGTCGCAAATCCGATAATTTCATTGTAAGTACCAGTGGCGGCTGGTGGATTTTGGGCACACCATATCTCAGTTATTAGACCTAGGACCCACATCAAATTTATATGAGTTTACAATAACATTATATAGACAAGTTCTGCGCAAGCAGAATTTAAATTCAAGTTTGCCAAAAAAAAATTAGTTTTTAAGTGTGCCCCCCAGCAACCTGCCCCCCAAATTAAGATTATGCAAATTTAAGTGGTACAATATTTAATTCACTGAATTTTATCGAAAAATTTCAAATTTTATTAAATAATTTCAAGAATTACAGGTTTTATACCATTTTAAATTTATATTATTTCTTTTACTAAATTTAAAAACAAAAAATTGTATAAAATTCACTTTTCGATAAACTTCAGTGAATTAAATACACTATGATAGTTCGATTTACTAACATTGAGTACGCCCACCTATATTACCTAATTTTGGGCTGCTGATTTCAAAAATGCCACTCGTTTTGCTCCAGGACGTCTAGGATTCGAAATAATTGCGTAATAAAATGCTCTGCCCAATTATCTCAAAATGTAAGTTTTTTGTTAATATTTTGAATATTTATTAAATTATTTTGCCTTAAATCTATTTTGGATGTTCAGTATATTTTTGACGTTTGTTGTCAAAAATATACAGGGACTCCATACAAAGTGGATAAATGTCAAATAGAATTTTTTTGTTCCATTGTAGCCGTATACTACAGTAGTATATTTAATAAAGCATTTTTCTGCAGAGACGTGCTTTATTAAATACCAAAACTAAAACTATAATGTTTTTATTTATGCCTAAACTACCCAAAAATTTAATCTCGAATCTTATTTATTAAGTCTTATCAAAATTTAATATCGAATTGAAGTATAAAGGCGCCTTTATCTACTTTATCGTTCAAGCACACTAAAGTGAATCTAATAATTATGGACATTTAAAATTTAAACTTTAAGTTGTATTTTTACTTGAAAGTGATTTTAAGAACCAAAAAGAAAAAAAGAGCAGAAAATGGTAATGGAAGTAGCAGAGAAAGAGAAAGGAGACGAACATTTATGTCGTCGTTGTAAATTTGTTTTGTTTTTGTTGCGGTACCTTTAGGCAACGCAATTTTTGATTACAAAATTTTATGAGATATACCTACTACTTTAATTTTGCAGGAATATTAAATGGACCTGATATACGACGTTTAATGAAAGATCAAGCATTCAAAAATGCTCTCAAAGTTGACGAGCTTGTCGCATATGGCAGTGTTAAAGCTGTCATTAAAAATGTTCTTGGTTCATATCGGGCCTAAAATTGGCGCCAATTCATTGAAAAAATGCTTGTCATTTTGCAAAGAATTAGCGTTAATATGTCATTTAAAATACATTTTCTTTTTTTTTCTTCCTGATAAATTTGCCGAACTGATGAACATGGAGAACGATTTCACCAAGTAATTGCAAATCTAGACCATTGGTAGATATCTATGGGTATAGCGAAAAGAAGTTGGATTCATTGCTAGGAGACATTTTCTGGAATTTGCAGCAAAAGATGTACGACGATGATGAGGATTAAGCACAATAATACTATAATCCAATTTGATATTTGATACGATTTAATAAATTTAAGGTAGAAAAAAGCAAAATTATGAAATGCATTAAATTTTGAGGGCTTAATTTGGATAAAAAATACTGAAACTTGTTTACTTTGTTACCCTTTCAATTTAATAATTAAAATAAACTACAAAAAATGTCAAATAATAGTTGTTTTTTTACATAAAATGCATTAAGATTTTAGTTTTAGTATTTAAAATGTCATATTGTTAAAATAACTATGATCTATTTGCCGTATACCAATTACTTTAGTACATTCAAGATAAATTTAAGCTAAAATAATTTAATAAATAATTAAAATACCAACAAAAACTTACATTTTAAGGTGATTGAACAGAGCATTTTATTACGAAATTATTTTAAATCCTAGACGTCCTAGAGAAAAACTAATTACAATTTGGAATTCAGCGGCCCAAAATTAGTTAAACTAAGCTGGAGTACTTAATGTTAGGAAAAAAAAGTTTGTAAAACTATCATAGTGATATTGTACCACTTTAATTTTAATTATCTTAATTTGGGGCGGCAGGAGGCTGGGGGGGCACACTTAAAAACTAACTTTTTTTCGCAAACTTCAATTTAAATTCTGCTTGAGCAGAACTTGTCTATATAATGTCATTATAAACTCATATAAATTTGATGTGGGTCCCATGTCTAATAACTGAGATATGAGTGTGCCCAAAATCCACCAGCCGCCACTGGTAAGTACATATTTATTCAATGCTTTAAAAATAATATATATAACAGGGCGGAAAAAGCATATTGACTACCTCGCTCAGATCTGCACCCTCGGCTAAGGCCTCAGCAGCGAACACTGAGCTCGGCGTTAAATAATCGCTTTCTCCTCCTGTTAAAGATAGAATATCGATCATTTTTCCTTTCGCTGTCAAAATGACAAGACTAGTGATAAATGAAAGAAAGGTTGATGTCAACGTCGTTCAAAATTCCGTGTCCGCGACTGTACCATAAATATTTTTCCGAATATTTTTCCTTTTTTGTAATTATTTTACCATGGCACCTTCAAAAAAAATATTTTTATAACTCTATTTCTGAGTTCGGTTTTTTCGCTTGTGGTGTGCGCATCGCTCAATACACATAGATGACTTTTCGACCAAGGAGACAAATTTTGATTCCCGGTATAGAAATATACCTGTATTTTGGAACAATAGTAAAAATCTGTATTTGGTATTTTTGTTTTATATTATATTTAAAACTATATTATGGCATAATAATTATGCCACCAGATCCCATACAGCACAAAGACGTACAAAGGACGTCCATATAACGTTAATTTTTGTACTTGTGGACGTACATTAAACGTCCATCGACATGCATCGGACGTCCTACGGATGTCCATTTGTCACAGTTTTGGACGTCCATTAGATGTTACTTACGGACGTACATTTAATGTAAGCAATGGACGTGCTTATTTCACTGCAGCGGGTAGGTTAAATAAAAAGTCCTTAATTTCAATAAACTGTTTATAACTATAAATATCAATACTTAAACATTTAAATTTAGAGCTTGCTATAAAGCCCCTAATTTAACATTAGGTAATAAACGGGTTAAAACAGTATATACTTGGTATACTGTTTTAACTCGTTTTTTTTAAACATACATTGCAATTTTTTATTTGTATTACAGATAGGTACTATGTTCCACCAAATACTGTACAGGGTGTCCAAAATTGGTTGTCCCGTATAGGCTATCTCAGTAAATATAAATGCTAGAAAAAATTCGACCACGCATCCCCGTCCTCTTTTTTAAAGATACATTGAATGATGTCTTTGAATTTTCTCGATTTGCATTTGTTTAGGAGATATAACCTATTTTTTAATTTTTGCCAAATTCTTATGGCTCTGTTAATATTTGAGTTACGAATACAGGAATAATACATTGTTTATTTTAAACCTTTAAAAAAAATTTCAAATGCCACTGGTCTAACCCCCCCGAAATTTTAGTCTAGATACGGCCCTGACATTGCTGGATGTTAAATGGACTTTACTTTCTGATCAAAAATGAATACGTTCATTATTAGACGTATTATGGATGTATTTACTACTATGTCCATTGGACGTAACCTAATGAAGATCCCTGGGACGTCCATTTTAGGTCTATGGACGTACGTACGTAAAATGGACCATTAATGGACGTCCATGGGATGTATTGTGCTGTATGGGATGATGAGTAGGTACGTGACAAATTTGTAAAATTGTATAGGGCTGGTAGTATTAAGAACATGGTAATACTTGGCTTACCTACCTTACACCACAGGTTTTTTTTTTAAATATTTGCAATACAAACAAAAAAATAAGACTAATTTTATTAAAAAGTTTTCCATGTTTTTAGAGGACCTGTTGGTGGAACGAAGTATGCAAAGAGGAATTCCAGAGCCAATTCAAGTGTAAATGCCCCGAGTGGTCTTTCTGCAGGGCCCCTGGTCGCTACTACAACGCTTTTTGCTCGATGACTGCCACCGGTTACATTTGGGAACAGCCAGCCATTAATGGACCACAATAACACGCAAAAACACAATAAAAAACGACCAGGATCACAGACAAATAAAAAAACACACCAAGAATTTATTTCACTTTGTTTTGACACTTAACTGTCAGAATTTAACATTTGACAGTTAAACTGTCAAAGTATGTTATGGCTAAAGTTGAAACTGGTCGATCTGTTATTTTTTTATGATTAGGGATCAACAAAAAAAAAATAAGAATAAAAATCTCACGATTTATTTACAAATATTTTGTATATTATATTTACATATGAATCATTTAAGTGCACTTGTTTGCTCAATATAAAAGGAGGGTAAATTGGCCCCCCAGTTGTTTTGGTTAGGATTTTTTGTATAAAAAAATTAATAAATAACGCTACTAAATTTCAACTTCTTTTATTTACTATGCATAAAAGATGTTATTTTTATTTAATAAAAGGTTTTATAGGTAATATTTTTTTCCCAAAAATAGATTTTTTGTTATAAAATATATTCTCCATAAGCAAAAATATCAAGCTGATCAAAAATCCATATATCAAGACTATAAGACCACAAGAAAATTCTTTAAGGCTAACATGAATAGTGACTTTTTTAGCTGTATCTATACAAGCTGGTTTTCTAGAATCCCAGTGCTGCCTTAAATGATTTATTTTACCATCTTCTACCATTTTTAACATACTAAAATAAAAAAAATATTAAAATCAAATTAACAAATAAAACTCGAATCTTGAGAGTTTTAACAAATATTGTATCCATGCAACGTGATTGTTTACATATGGATAATGTTACTTATATGAAAATATTTTTCAGAAAGTTTACTTTAATATAATTTGAAAAAACACTCGATATGCTTTATAGTTTTGGTTAACATTTTCTCAAAATCGCTCATCATTATGGACCATCCCATAATATATAATTAAATAGCTTATTTTAGATATTCTTCTTACCAATAATTTAACATCTCTCTAAATGGCGAATGTTTTTGTAAATTAGTATACATAGGCTGAGTCCTATACATCTGTATTTCTTCTAGATCACATATCTCTTCATTAGTAAAAATCTGCTCTATGATGGGGTAGGCTGAACTCGTTTGAACATGAAAAGCAAACCCACCCTGTCTGACCAATGAAATGCCATCAAAAGGCGAGTAGAAACCATCATCATTTGTAGCACCCTTGATTTTTTGCTCGTATAGCTGAATAGCATAGGGGTCTGTGGTTTGCTGTGAAAAAGTTTTAAGGGCTGGTCTATTAATAATCGATGTTTTTTTACCACAAAATAATCTCTATCTATAAGGATGTCTTCTATTCCGGCCTGCATTTTACTTTCAACCAAATCTTTAAGGTTAAAAATGCTTCTTGGGGGATCCATGAGTAAGTAAGAGACAATGCTTGCCGAGTAAAATTGGTAGGTTAAAATGCAGAAGAGAAACACGAATATAGAAAGGATTCTGCTTGAAAAAAGTAGAGGATAACAGGTAGCACCTAAAACAAAATATTTAGTAGTTTTGTAAAAAAAATCCTCGTTGTGTAATATAATCTCAAAATATTACAGTTTTCGGTCAAAAAGTCTGGAAAACTTGATGTCTTGAAGCAATTCAGGGGTCAATTTGCAATCAGCACATCAAAAATATACTGTTTAATTTTTAAACATGTGTACTTATTAATTTTTTCATTTTAAATATTGTTTTTATGATGCGAATCGAAGTATCTACGTTGATAGATCATTTTAAATAGGTACTAATCAGTATTAATTAGATTAATCTAAAATAATAACCAACTTATGTTTTTTTTTGGTTTATCTCAATAAATTTAATTCTAAAAGCATTATAAAATACTCGCGAGTATAATGGATGTATAATCAGTAAAACACTCCATTAAGATTAATATTGAGGTAGTCACCTTGTTGACAGAAGGCTCCCAAAGTAAATAGCATTAAAAAACTCCAAGAAGGATCGACGTTACTTTTGATTTTATGTTTTATATTCAGCTCTATGGTAAAAGCTATTTTTAGGGCCAGCGTTATGAAAACTAATATTACTAAAATTGTTAACCACACATCATATGATAGAGGTCTTAGGAATATTTCGTAGGATTTAGCTTCAATTCTTGGACGTTTGTACACGAACGTAGACCTAAAAAGAACGAATTGTATGTCTACCTATAGGCAAGCAAATGTCACCGTATTTAATTTTTCTACCGTAGTATCCAGTTTCCAAATCCATAGTCGACAAAAGGCATTCTGTCAAGTTTAAAAAGTAGAGGGGAGCTGCCAAAATCTACGAGTTTTCTTTCTAAAAGGCTTACGAGTCCATCGAATTTGCCGGTTTTTTTCTGTATGTATCCCCAGGAGTTGGTTCTTTGAACTTCTAGGCTAAAAGAGTAATTTTTTTAATAAAAAATGCATTTCATGCAACTACCAAAAAAATTACCTAAAATTATACATTTCTCTACAATGATCGATAGTAACGCTATGAAATCTATTTAATGAGTTAATTTGCCTATCATTATCATTTGCCAAATATTCCTTTAAACTCCCTGTCAAACGAGGAATCTAAAAATATTCTACGTAATATTATTATTAACAAAACAAACACAGGTCTACAAAATTTAACCAACTTCCTAAAATCAGACTATACCTTCCAAAGGTTTTTGATACACTGAATTCGAATAGAATCTAATAATTGAAAAAACACGAAATAATTTTTTCCACAAAACTCATTTTACCATTTAAAATGACTAGGTACTCTCCCTCTTCAAAATTCTTTTTAAGTTTTTACAAGATCTTTTCTCTTCTTTGAGAAATTATTAGTTAAAATATTTATGATCAACACGATGCATCGAGATGAATCAAATTTTTACCCAAATAAACTCATAATAATAAATAATGATTTCTCAAAGGAAAAAAGGAATTGATATATATATATATATATATATATATATATATATATATATATATTATATATATATTAGGGTGAGCCAAAAAAACTAACCTATCGGATTTATGGGTTAAAATTAACCTACATACCGAGAAAAAAATTTCCCTGCAAGGCAAAATTTTTTGCTCAATTTTAAAAGGTGTCGGTGAGCATTCTAAGTTTTCCATTGAAATAACACGTAAAAAAATCTTTTTTCATTAAAAAGACTATAACTTTTGAACCGTTTGAGATAAAATTTTTTTCGTCGCGGATTCTTATAGAGCATAAAATTTCCCAAAGAATCTATACCAGGATTATTTTTTTTAATTCAAAAATTCGTATGTTTGAAAGCTTTGAAAAGTGTAAAAAATCACTAAAACTGCAGTTTTAGAATTTAGAATGCTCACCGACACCTTTTAAAATTGAGCAAAAAATTTTGCCTTGCAGGGAAATGTTTTGCTCCCTATGTAGGTTCATTTTAACCCATAAATCCGATAGGTTAGTTTTTTTGGCTCACCCTAATATATATATTATTTATATCTATAATTAATACTTTGAAATGGAGTAACAAGTTTTGTTGAGCAATTCTGAGGTCAAATTTGTATTCAGCACGTCAAAAAGTCTGCTTTTTATTTAGAAATGTTGTCTATACTTCAAATTGGATATCTACCACTATAGCCGAAGTGAACTGAACCCCAGTCATATTTTTTCTGCTTAAGAATTTATCAAGCCTCACTCTAGCTTGATATCCTTTTTCTTTAGAATAAACACCAATTTTCATTATTTTGAGTTCCCCGTTACGTTGTGAAGCCTGGTTATAAACATCATAAATCTCAAAATTGTTTGAATTATTTTGTTGTACAACCATATTAAAATCTGAATTTACGTTTAAATATGCCGAATTCAGAAGATTTAACGCGTCATCTTGGGAGTTGGACATTAAGAGCCATTTGTGGGTTTCATAGAAAAAATAAGTGTTGTTTAACTACAAAACAATGTTAGTAATAAATATGTATAGGTAAGTCAGGTTTTCAAAAACTCTAATCCAGAGTTACTACTCTTCCCCTTCAAAACCCTTTTGTAATTTTTTTCAATATCCTTTTTTTCGAGAAATCGTTAAATAAAATTTATCATTTTGGTTAAGGTAAACATTTTTAGGTACTGCAGTGAAGTACACGAAACGACGCTCTCGTCAACAACAGACTAAGACACCCAGGAAACAGACATCTGGAACCTGAAGAAATAAGGCATGCCCGAGCAAAGCATGTCTGCACTTTTCTTAGAAGCTGCGGGCTCCTAAGGTAAGGCATGGGGCTAGGGGGTTAGCACAATGGTCCGTGTGTGTGCCTAAAAATTTGATTGATTCTTCGTTTCGATCATAAACTAACGATTTCTCGAAGGATTTTGCTGAAGAATAGTGGCAGTTTTATAAAACATAACAAGTTCGGTGAAAAAAGTTCGTGGTGTAACGCATTTCTCCTACACTTTTGGGTTAGAATTTCTTAAAATCTCACGGGATGGATCAATTCTAATACAAAAAAAAAAATCGGGATTATGATTGTTTTAAGTGGATTGGTACAGGATCTTTAAAAAAATCCAATGATGATTTGTTAACCTTAAAAATTGAGAATGCTACGAATTTCCAAAGTCTAGCACAGCCTGATTTATACATTGCCTTCCTTCCTTCCTTCCTTTCTCCCGTAGAAAATGATTTATAGATTCCCGTACGGGAATCTTTAAACAGCACAACGGTTTTTGTATTGTTCAACTTCTACGGGAGGAAGGAAGGCAATCTATAATTTAGGCTTTACTACATGTGTATTCACAAACGCCTATGCTACGCGTAAAGTTTCATTTTTGGACTTAAGGTTCGTTTGCTCGGAAATCGTCACATATGTTTATTATATTATGGGGAATATCACGAGGAAGTGTTTTGTTAAGCTTGATACATATTTTTATATAAAAATTATATCATTATATCATATTTTGTAATATTTTCTGGCCATTTTTAAGAAAAAATTGATTATATTGTGAGAACGCCATATATTATATTTCTTCACATGTTTTTTTCATTTTGATTTGAATTATCTCAATAGGGGGGCCTGGAGGCGGGTGAGGCGAGAGGAAAAACTAACTTTTTTCGCAAACTTCAATTTAAATTCTGTTTGCGCCGAACTTGTTTATTTAAGGTCATTATAAACTATTATAAATTTGTTGTGGGTCCCATGTCTAATAACTGAGATATTGGTATACATAAAATCCACCAGCCGCCACTGATGGAAGGATACTTGGTGCACCCTGTAGATATATGAAAAAAAATAAAATGAAAAATTATAGAAAATGCGGATTTTACGTAAAATAACTCATTTATAAATTATTTCAAATTTTGCCATTTTGTACTTAAAAATTGGATTATTATTTCTTAAATTCTTTAAAACCATACCAGTTTCATTAAATAGCTTATTGATTTTAAAAAAGTACTACTGCTTATAAGCTGCCTTTCAGGTTGCCTATTATTAAATTCTCTGCTTCTCTCGCTGAACGATCGTTATCTCCTACTAAACGGACAATAATTGTCCGTGTGTAGGAGATAACGAAATTATTTCAACTTTGTGCTCTAAAAACTGATGGGCCATAATGATTGTAGATAAGAACTTTTAAATAAACTGTTAAAAAATACACAAAAAGGACGCTACTATTTTCTGTCAAATCGCCTGTTTTTGGTTTGACGTTTGTTTGAAGTTGTAAGCATAGCTATCTTAGTTTTTGTTTTGTAGCAATAATTAATTAATAATGATTATAACGTAAAAAAATAAACTTGCCCAAAATAGTTATTAATTGTTTATTTTTGATGAAATTTGGTATATACCCATTTTAAAGCCTGCCAAACTCGGTGGCGTACCTATTTTTTTCCTAAACCTTTTATATGTGTTTCTATTGTCGTTATAAACATTTAAAAAATCAATAAATAAACCGTTGTAAAATAATTATCAATCGATTGTTTTTAATGAAATTTGGTATTTACCCATTTTTAAGCATGCCAAATTCAGTGGCGTACTTATTTTTTTCGTAAAAATTACCCTAAATGTTTTTTTTTTTAATTTTGACACAGAAAAAAAATTATAGTAGGCATGTGTCGTGTGACTTTGAAAAAAACTTTAACAGCTCTAATAGAGTTTTTTATTTTCTATCTTTTGAGCCTTTATTCAATAAAATCGGGTTACAAATAAAAAAGTTACGGGGGTGTTTCCATCTTAAGTGGGCCACACTATATATATATACATATATATATATATATATATATATATATATATTTGCGTTTAAAGCTCAAAATCGACATTTTCAACAAGTCCGACCCCTTCGATTTTTTTGAAAAAATTTCCCAAAATTCTACTTCATATTGTTTATTTTTTTTCTGAAACTCCATTTAAAGACGAAAAAAATGATACCCCATTTTTTACGATTATCGATATTTATCACTAGTCTATTGATATATCAATAATTGAAAATTTTTCACCTCAAAATTTAAAATATCCATATCTCAATAACGGTTTGGAATAAAAGGCTAAAAATTGGTGTGAAAGTTGCTTTTAATACGTGGGTCAAAATCACCAAGGTGGAAAATTAGCTGTGCCAGCAAATAAATGACTAAATTCAGTTTTTCTTTAACAAATCAAGTTTTGTAAATACTTAAGTGTGTTTACGTTAACTATACCTAATATAATATAGTTCAAAAGTAAACCATATTCATTATTATTTATATAAATAAGTACAAAAAATCATTTCGAGAACGCGTCCTAAGTAGCAATCTTTAGAAACAAACACCTGAAATAATCATAAAATAAAATAAATCTAACAGTTTTTCTTACTTATTCAATTCAATTTTATCTAATATCACGTAATTACAAGCATTATTAAAGAAAAAAAAAGAAATGAAAGAAAATCAAGTCAAAATATTGTGTCCAACAATGTAAGCATCATTTGAGTGAACGCTGTTTTGATTGTCCAAAAAAATTACTTTTTTGAACGCAGCCGTAATATGTGTATGGCACAGTTGTAGTGAAAGATGTAAACAACGTGGATGTCAAGTGAATTTTTCGCCAAAATAATTAAAAATAAGTGGTAAGTACCATTCGATCCCATAATTAAAGAGCGTACATAAATATATCATCATATCGGGAATGCCTTTATTAACTCGTAATATTGAAAAAATACGTTTTATAGTGTTTATAACAAATATAAACCTTAAATAATATACCTTAAACAAGCCAAACATGGCTGTCAAGATGACTTTCGTCTAAAAAGGGCGCATTTATTTGAAAAAGTCATTTTGGGAACGGTCGTTTCGGGAACGCCCCCGGACTTGACGGAGCGTTCTTGAAATGACTGTTACTACTTTTTGTCAATTAATTTAGTGTATGTTGTCCTAAATAGTTTTAAATAAATGTTTTTTTTTTAGGAAATATGGAATCTCATGAAGTTAAAAAAATTAAAAACGTCCAAAAAGACAACTTATAAAAAATAGTTTAGGTTACATGCAGCAAACAGAAAAAGCTAATGCCAGAAAAAGGAAGTTTTTAGATAAGATAACAGAGGAAGAAAGATACATTAAAAGGAGTAAGGATAGAGCATACTA